GAGAGAGTTCACTTAGTGAGAAGGGGAGATGTACTCTGACTAACCATTCACTCTGGTAACTTCCCACAGGGGAGAACTTTGGCAGAGAGGGAGTTAGAGAGAGTCTGTGGTAGAGCAGGAGCAAGTTACAGGAGGACTAAGGGTTGTCAGTGGGCTGAAAGTGGGCACCCAAGAGGTTTGATTTGGGTGGCCTATCGCTGAGGAGAGAGAAGAGGAGACTGAAGAGGCTGGAAAGGGAGAGAAAGGACTGTGGGTTGAAGCCAATAGTGAGAGGAAAGCTCATAAGCATGATTGAAAATAGTGGAGGGATCATCTGGTTTGGGCTTCATAGATAGAAGAAGTTGTTCTTTCCTTGGTTGGCTTATACCATGTGGTCACTTTTAATCAAGATGGGAGTGAAGTCACATGGAAAAATCCATCCTTAACAACCATAGCAACGATGGCTGTCAGCCATGTGGCTGCTTCCATCCTGATTTGGGGGGGGAATGTAAGGGGTGGTGGGGGGAGACAGTGGTTACAATGATAACAAGTCATATGTTTCCTTTAAGATTGCCTAGGTATAGACTTTTAACTATCAACCCTAGAGTTTTAAGTTAACCTCTTTGTTACAGACTTTATAGATTTTTAATCATATCCAATATGCTCTCAGATCTTGAGGTATGGAAAGTTTACACAATAGTCATAAACTAAAACCAAAAGAATAGGTGCTGAGTAGCAATAGTCACAGTTGGGAATGGTCTGTCTATATTGTTTTGCTCTCCTTTCCCAGTACATAGCTGGCCTGGTATGTGACAGAGGTTTTGGAGGAAACCTTTAAATAATCATGCTTGGATCTAGAGGAGTGGGAAGCAATATCCCAACTCCAGAGCCAGCTTTTAATTGTCATGGGACAGCATAAAACAACTGTCTAATGCCACTCATCCCTAAAAGACAACTGAATCCAGAAAGCTGAGAACAAAGGCTTGGAGATAAGAAAATCTTGAGCCCCAGCTATAGATGAGGATGCTGCAGGAGGGAGCCAAGAGATGCACCAGCCAGGAAGGAGTCGGGGTGGAGGAGTGCACCCTGCAGCTGGCCCACTCCTTTGATTTCTCCCCCTCCTGCTAGGACTGGCTCTCTCTTTACAACAAACTTAGAGACCAATCAACATCTTGAAAGACAGGACATTTACACAGTGTGTGTGTGTGTGTGTGTGTGTGTGTGTGTGTGTGTGTGTTTGAGGTGGGGGTGGAGACAACTGGATGACCGGGCAAAAACAAACACAGCTTGGAGCACAGAAAAGGGAAAACTTGATTGCAGGGAATGGGGAATCTTCCATTTCCCCACTTGCCCACAGTATTTGTAAAAGTCCCAAATGTATTGGGATCTAGGGTGCCATTAGGTGGCCATTTGGATTGATTACCTAAAGGGTATTGAGGTCATGTTTGATTGCAAAAGCAAATAAATTTGGGACCCTACTGGTCAGGTGTCAGGTAGAGATGCTGGAGGTCAGAAGAAGCATTCCAAAAGGGGAGTGAGAAGGTATGGAAGACACAATAGCCTGTTGTGCCTAAAGAGACTGTTGGATTGCAGCTGTAAGGGTGGAGGGACGGGGTCAGGTAGAGACGGCCAATTGAGGCCTTTACCTCAGAGAGTACCAGAGCAGTGCTGGCTGCTCAGTTGTCACTTCCTTGGACGAAGGGAATTGTTTACACCAAGCAAAGAGAAAACTTAACTAATTGCCACTGGTGGATGGAATGCCCACTGATTGATGAGGTCCTCAGGAGCCAGGCCTGACCACTCGCCCACCTCAAGGAGTATACAAAGTATAACATTAATATTCAATAACAAGACCAGGTGTGGCCAGATCAGCTGGATGATTGGCTTGTGTGACATTCTTTAACATTTTCCCTAGGTTTCTACAATGATTGGGCTTTGCTTTTATAGCATGAAAAATTATTTTAAAAGGAAAAAGAAAGGATTCGGAGGGACATTAGTGACCAGGAAGACAATTGCAGCCTGAGGCTTTCCCTGGGCTCAGATCTGGGATGTTGATGAAAGAAGAGTAACCCAGGGGCTTTTGGATGTGGACAGTTGACAACTATTCATCACAGACATAAATAACTACCAGTATCCAGTGATTCTCAAGGAAACTCAAGTAAGCTAACGATATCACAGTGAAAGTATTGGATGAGAGGAAAGGGGGAGGAGGGCTCACCCTGCTCACTGAGGTCAGTTCTTTGGAGATTTAGAATATGGATGCTCTTCCTCAGTCTTTCCACTACCTATTCTTGAACTCAACCTCCCTGACTTGTCCTGCTACAACATCTGTGACCACTAGAAATGGCCACTCCTTTATTGCCTTCTGGAGTCTGTTTACTCTCTGGAGGGTCCAGTGCTCAGCATCTTGTTCCCCCACCCCCAACACCTCCTAAGGTTTGGTACCTGTCTCCCTACCCAGAACCTTGAATCAGTGCCTCTAGAAGCACTTCTGTATGACATAGAGGAATCAAGGTAGGAAAGAAGAGGGTTTGTGTTTGCATCTGTAGTGCTAACTGAAAGGCCTAAGGCATTCTTCTTACCTATAAATATGTGTGACTATTTTAAAAGATTGACTGTTCTAGAAGTGTGAAGATAAAAAAGATCCCTCCATTCACCTTGGAGCGGCCTTGTGTTAGTATGTGTTGCCCTGGACTCCTGGATCCTGAGTGTTTGTCTCTGTATGCGGGGTTATGTATGACTTTTAGTCTCTGTTAGTCTAGTTCACTTCAGACTCAGCACAAACTGTAGAGTGCTAGTGGGCAGCCTGGTGCTGGCTGGTGTATGGGGTAATATCTGGCTTTCAAACTGAACTTCAAAAAAAGCACAGAGTTGGGGGCTGGGTGGCATATCCGTGGTCTGCCAGTTACTCCAGCAGGATGGGTGGAGCCCAGAAAGGCTCTGGCCCCTGAGAAGAAAAGTGTTAACAGGAAGCCCTTTTGTGGGTAGTTTTGGATTTTGTCTGTCCTCACTTCTTTGAGGTCTAGCAAAGGTGGGCAGAATGGCTGCCATGTCCCTTGGTGACCACCATCACCAGAGCACTTTCCTGGCCATCTCCAAGCCCAGCTAGTTCAGTTCCACCTGCTTCTGACCCTTCCCAGGGTTTCATGAGCCCCACCGTCTCCACTGTGTAGTGGAACTCAGAATAAGCTGAGAGCCTGAAGGTCAAATGTCACCTTCAAGGAGCTGGTTAAGGTGACACTTACCAACTGGGCTGGGTGGCAGCTATTCCATCCCTGACTACCCTGGCACTCCCACAGTCTTTTCTCAAAAAGTTTCACAGCTGGCCAGGTAGCACCTTCTCTTTTCCCTAGATGGCACCTGCCAAAGCCAAATGACAGATCACGTCTTGGTTACTGAAGCCCCACAAGTGTTAATATACATGGTAGAGGCTCAAGGAGTCCGTACCAGTGAATGGCACCAGGTCCTGACAGCAAAGCACATCCTCCTAGAAGAGAGCATCCTGCACAATGTTCCTTTGGTGCTGAGTATCTGAATATGTGAACTTCACTTTCACCTAGACATTACCTTAAGGATACAGACACCAGCTGGACTGTCCTCAATGACTCTGGGTTCAAGGACCAGCTAGAAGGAACTCAGCCTTGAATGTCCTTTTCTGACTTGGAGGATGAGGAAGATATGATAGAAGACACTGAAAAAACTAGCATGGCCAGCATGTGCCAGCATGTGGAGTTGTTATGTGCCTGTATATACCAGATGTATGAGGACCAGGAAGTGGGAAGAGAATGGTCCAGGTTCCAAACCCAGTTCAAGGTCAGTCATGCAACAGGGCCTCAGGACTCATGTTAGTTTTGTGGGAAGAGACTTTCTGGTGTTTGCTCAGAATAGGTCTGACCAGAACAGCCTGCTCCAGAGATCCCAGCAAGATCCTGTGCCAGTATCTGCAAGGTGAACATAGAATTCCAGCAGTGTATGTAGTGCCCCATCCCCAGTATGGAACACTGTTTTTACATTACCCCTCTGTCTTGGCTTCACTTGGGTTTTGTTCCTGCATAGTTTCTGCTTGTGCACACGTGATTTCCATAGCCATAAACAGCTTTGACTTATTTTCTATCCTAAAATTATAATCTAAGTAATGTTTGAGGATATTTTTCTCTGGAAAAGGTGAACTTGGGAAGATAACCTACTCTGAGTCCCAAGGGGACTCTACTGGCCTTCTTGCCAGTTCTTGCTAGTTCTCCAACACTGCGATATAAAGAGCCTCCCCCATTCCACCCGCCCCCCACACACCCAAGGCTCGTGCTTTGGGAAGCACTTTCCCTCAGCTAAACCTCATGTGTTTCCTGTACTTCCAAAGCATCCAGACAGGAAGTACTAAACCTCAGAAGGCAAAAATAGCTGACTCTTCCCCAAGGGCTATGGCCTCCAGACACAGCTATTGCTCTGCCAAGCCTTGCAGCTCTGGGCCTACTAGGTTTTGTCATTTAAGTCTGATCTGACACAAGTCTGTTCATTTCCAAAAGGACTAACATGAGCCTTTAGTCTGTGACTGCTTTGTTCAGGTATGGTTCTTAGACACTAACAACCTCTGTCAAGAAGATATAATAAGAGCTAATTGTAGCCAGATAAGTGAAGAGGGGCTCAGGTCAGGTCCCACAACCCCTCTAACTCAGGTTCTAGCCTCTAGTTACCAGGGGGCCAACAAGGCATGATGCTATAGCTTTAACTGTCCACAGCAAGGAAACAGTCCTGAGGGGAGGGGAATGGGTCCTAGGAGATTCTCTGCCTGGGGTCTGACCTGGGATATCAGTATCAGTGTCTTCATCACTTATCATGAAGATTCTTTGCTGAAGGGTTCAACTCATAATCCAGAGAAGGAAGAGAAGGTTACTCTGCCTCAACATTGCAAATCTCATAGGCCAGCATTCAAAGCGCTACCTCTGTTTCAAGCCCAGGGTTTCATGTTCACTGTTACTCATACCCCACAGGAGAAGCAGCAGCCTGAGAGCTCAGTGCTTCTTGGAAGACACACTGGTTGTGAGACCAGCCCCACTCCAAGGTTTTTGCTGGGTCTCCAGGTGAGGAGTCCTTTAGTAACATGTCTTTCCTAACATATTCTCTGCGTGGTTACTCATGGTCTGGATAAGGACACACGTGTATTGTTGTAGAGACAGGATCCAAAAGATACATTGTCTAAAACAGAGGAAGGGTGGCTAGGAGTCAAGGCCTGAGACTGAAGCATGGCTTCCCTTGCAGAAGTAATGCACCTCTACTATACAAAATGCAGATGGAACAGCAACAAATAAGTATGGATTAGCACAGGGGTGGATGTGAGGATGTCCTAAAGTTCCACATACAGGAAGTAGCAGCTGGGTGGCAGATGTGTAGGGACTAAGCTTGGTGTTCCTGGTACTGGATGACCCTGGCTCATAGGCTGCTCAGGTAAAATCTAATTCTCAAGGGTGGGTCTAATAAAGCGAGACATCTACAACTTGAATATCCTCAGGGAAGGATGTCCTCATAGAGATGATGTGTTTGACAAGTGGCCCACAGTTCACATTTCACTGCCTGTTCAGAGCTGTCCAAAGAGGTGCTGAGTAGGAGACTCCTTGGGTGTCCCAAACTTCTGGACACCAGTACGACATAATAAGAAATATATATTTGGTCTCTGTCCCAGTTCCTGATTCATCTCTGAAATCTTTTGGAATTTCCTGGACAACAGAAGTAACTTTTGCTTTTTGAGAAGATTCCTTCCCTAACCCCCAACCAAACAATGAGCCTGGGTTGGTACATGTGTGATGTAGCCTAATTCTGTGGGGTCATAGGTCATGTTCTTAGGGTTCTTGGTACACAACATGCATCTGGCTGCTTGTCAATATGCTTTCCTGTGTCCCATAAAATAAGCTAGAAATGCATTTCGTGTTTCCCTGAGTTATATGAGCCCAGCAGCAGATTATATGGGAAGCTAAGTCAGACAGATACATGGGGAAACTAAGGGCCCAGTATCTGTAATGATGACTGAAGTAGGGTTTGTGATATCAACCTAGGGTGGCTGCCAGAACTTCTTGCGAATTTTGAAGTCTCTGACGCTCTCGTCCTCTGATATTTGTACTATTTAGGAGAGCAGACATTAAGCAAAAAGAGGATGTTAAGTCACCCAAAACTACAGGCTACTGAGCAGGATATGGGCTTTCCAGCCAGCATTGACTTTGGGGCCTCTCACCACAGGCCTCTTTTTGATGACTTCCAGCAGTCAAGGAGTCTAACCTTCCATAGGCCCCCAGGGAAATTAGAGAGGCTCTGGGAAGACAAAAGTTAACCTGCAGCAGGGCCAGCCCCTCTCAGTTCTAGGGGAGGAATAACCCAGCCAAGCTGCTGAGAAACCCTTCAGTTGTCAGTGGGATGTTCTATAGACCTTATACCCAGCTCTGCAAAGATTCCACCCAGCCTCCCCCAAGGCCCTATGTAAATGTCTCAGGCACAGCAGAAAGCCAAAAACCTGTTCTTGAACCAGGAAACCTAGGTGCCAGCCTAGAATTTATAGCCATGCCTCTGATTTGTTAATACATTCATGATTTATAGGCCTCTTCATGTTTACAAACCTCAGGAGAAAGTGCAAATTTGTACCCCAAGCAAACTGCCATGGTTAGTGTCACTCAAAATCCACGTGTCAAAAACTTTGTCCCCCAAATCACACATGTGTTAATGACATTTAGAGGTTGGAATAAGGCAAGATAGAAAGACAAAGAAAATGAAGGGATATGGGGAAAAAGAGTCTCTCACCTTTGCTGTCTGAGAACTGTGTGTTTGCGTGTGTGTGTGTGTGTGTTTGACCTACATATAAAAAGGATTCCTTTGACTTTTTTTTTTTTACCTCTTTCCATCTTATTAGTCTGTATACTTGTATAGTTCACTCAGAAACCATCTATGATCTCATTACGAAGTAACAAATCCTTAGAATTTTTGGTATAATAAGTATGCCAAAACATTTTAAACTCCTTGAACAATAAAATTTCAAGGGCCATAAAATCATGTATATATGTATGTATGTAATATATATAAATATAAATCATTATTAAAATACTTAAGTTTGACTCTGAAGATATTCTCAAACATTCTAAGCTACTTACAACTCCTCTTAACAACTCTTTCTCCCTCCTAATGCTAGTACTTAAAACTACAATAAAACCTTTTGTTTGTTTGTTTTTGTTTAGACAGGATCTCCCTATTTATCCCAGCCCGCTGGAACTCACTATGTAGCCCAAGCTGACTTTAAACTTGACAATCCACCTGCCTCACCTTCTCAACAATTAGCTTTTCTTAATAAATTTCAAGTTTGCTTCATAGTGTCTCATTTTGTAATTCTCTTCTGTGGTACAAGTCAAGAATCCCAGGTCCACTTAAGTACTGGTCTCTGAAAATAACTCCTCCAGCGGGCAGCATTGAGCAATTAATTGGGATTAGAATTATTTAGGTATGAAGCCACCTTCAGTAAGCACCAACAGATGGCCTCTCGAGCATGAGAAGCATCCATAACCCTCTTCTTGAGGAGTCAGTCCCCAAATACTTCAGGGTCTGTCTTAAGGAGCCAGCCTTTTTCCTTCCTGCTGCCTGTGATACTTCCTGGCCCCAGAATTCTGGACCTGCATCAGCAACCAGCTCACGTGATTGTTGGTCTCCGCCAGCAAAAGGGGACTTGGCAGCACACAAAAAAGACCCTGTCCCTGCCCCCACTGAGCCAGCAGTTTAGAGACAGTGCTGGAAGGCCCTTAATAGAAAGACTTCCTGTAGAAGGGATAAGCAGACAGTGTGGGTGGAGGGATGGCAGAGGTGGGGTGGCCTAATGCAGCCCTCAGTGGGGTAGGGTAGGGGGGTCACAGACTACTATCATCTGAGTAGGACTGAATTTGATATTGTCTTAGGGTTTCTATTGCTGCCATAAAGCACCTTGACCAAAGGCATCTTGGGAGGAGGGTATTTTAGTTTATAGTTCCACAGCAGTCCATCACTGAGAGAAGACAGGGCAGGAACTCAAACACGGCAGGAATATGATAGCAGGCACTGATGAATGACCAGAGGTATGTTGGCTACTGGCTTGTTCTTGTGGCTTGCTCAGCCTGTTTTTTTTATAGCACCCAGGACCATCTGCTCAGGGGTGACGCCACCCATAATAGGCTGGGGCCACCAATAACAATCACCAGTCAAGAAAATGTACCAGAAATTTACCTGCAAGCCAATGTTATAGAGGCATTGCCTCGATTAAGATTCCCTCTTCCTAAATACGTCTTTAGCTTGTGTCGAGTTGACATAAAACCAGCCAGCATGGATATACAGCTTGGAATGGTGTCCCTACACATTGTGGAAGTAAGGGAAAATAGGAAAAAAATACAGAGGCAACTGTGCCCAGCAGACTTGTAGCCAGGAATGGCTATGGAATAGCTGTTCTTTGGGTCCAGGAACTTGTGAGTGGGTCTGAGTTTTTTCTGAACCCACTCTAGTTGAATAAGCTGAGTTTAGTTTTTGAGGTCTAGTCTACTATGGACCCTATACCTATCTATTGGTGTAGCTCCTCTGTGCTTACACAACTCTCTATGGGACAGCACCTTCTAGTCAGTGTCCTCATTGCAGCCCGATCTCTCCTTCCTGTGCCAGTGACCATAGGGGTAAACTTCCTTTATATCATAGAACAGCCACAGATAGACTCAGATTTTATGTCTAGGCATTGCCAGTTGCAGCCTAGATCGTCAACTCTGTGACCCCAGTGTGTTGGAAAGTTCTCTAGGACTACTTATCCAGCATCCTAGGTACTTGGCTGGATCTTGCTCTAGAGTAAATGTCCAGGAATGTTTGAGGACTCAAGGTGATCATGGTGACATTTGCCTCCACCTCGTTAATGATTTGACCATTGAGGATAACCTGAAATTATATAACATACCACAGGCCATGGTAAAGCAAGGGGCTAAAAATGCTCACAGACAACCTGGAGAAGATCAAGGGACAGAGTGGTAGCTACACAGGCTAACCACTCACAGTTTGCCTCCTGGTAGTAAGACTTTTGGCATGCACTATGATAACCAAATATATCACCTGCCTTAGGTGATTTAGTTTTTGTTAAGGGGTAGGCTCTAGTTTCCAATAAGGTATACAAGTTTATGTGGCACAATGGCATGGCCAGGCTAGGGTCACTTGGCCAGGACAAGGCAGAGCTGAAAAGGAGGTCCCATGTGGCCTCAAGCCATTGGCTTCAGTCTCTACCCCAGGCTCCTGTCCAGTCGCAGCCTTTCCCACTAGCTGGTGCAGCTACGGATCAAAAGAGGTTTCAATAGGCATGCTTTGGCATTGTCCTGGCTGCAATGGAGCTACAAGTTGTTTGGTGCTGAAGCTTGTGCTTCTCAGCAAATGCCTTCTGTGAGGTCAGGGACTGTTAAGGAAGATCCTGAAGCAGTTTCCCTTGGAGGTCTCATCAGAAGTGGAGGCAGCTGTCAACTTCTTAAGATAGATAGCTTTGACAGCCACATTAGCAGCAATGTTTTCCTTCCCAAGGCCCCAGGGAAACACCAAGTTGCTCCCAGAATCTCTGGCCTGCCACCTCTCCTCCACATTCTCTGTTGGTGGTTGATCCCAGAACTCCCTCTTACATGCAAACTTTTATGGACATGCCATTTCATAGTACTGAGTTCCATAGATTACTGTAGCTCATGTGAGACATTTTCCTGCACACATTTTAGAGAACAATGTCTCATTGAATATAATAGGATGTTAATCCTAGGCCACTTCTTTCCCTTCTATCAAACAGACAGCTCAAGTTAGGTGGATAATGTATCTTACTATACCTCAATACAACTCTAAAGGGACCTGCTATCTACCCTTGAATTATCTTAAACCTAGAGGGGCCTCTGGGTTTATCCTCAAATTTTGTGTGCACAACAGGCTAGTTCCTTTTGGAAGTCAAGATACTTCTATCTTCTTCCCAACCTGGTTCATGCTCCCTCAGCAATCAGGGCCTACCTATCATGTGTCCTTATCTTGATTCCAGAAGTGGTGCTGGCTAGTTTTTGTAAACTTGACATGAATCTATACATATCTGGGAAGAAGGAATCTTAACTAAGAAAATGCATAGGCAAGTCTGTAGAACATTTCTTGATTAATGATTGATGTGGAAGAACCCTACTCACTGTGGGCAGTGCCATGCCTGGGTAAGTGGTCCTGGATGGTCTAAGAGAGCAGGTTGAGAGAGCCAGTAAGCAGTACTCGTCCATAACTTCTGCTTCAGTACTGTCTCCAGGTTCCTCTCTTGAGTTCCTGCTTTGACTTCCTTTAATGGTGAACTATGATGTGGAAATGTAAGTAAAATAACCCTTTGCTCACTGCCCTGCCCTAAGTTCCTTTTGGGCATGGTGTTTTATCACTGCAATAAAAAGCTAACTAAGACAGTGACTAGATGGGCCCCAGGGATCAGGACATCTGTAGTTCCTTCAATAGCCACAAGAGGGGCTTAGATCAGATCCAGCCATTCCAGCCATTGTCCAAAGTCTTATGGACAGTTCTCTAGTTATTGGACAAGGCCTGGAGTTCAACTCTGGAAAGGACTTTATTCTGGCTTGCACATGTTCTGACCTCCTCTCCTGCATCACCATAGCCTGTATGTTACCCAAGAACAAAAACACTCCATATGGAAACCTTTGACTCAGGCTGTTTTCTTGGCTGTGGGGTAGGGGGTTGAGATCCAGGTCAAGACAAATACTTTACATGGGCTCACTATACACATGGTTTATAGAGAATGCCTTATTGCTTGCTACCTGTTTTCTGCCAAAGCAGACTTATCCTTTCCTGCGATAGGGCTCTGAGTAGAGAGCTTTATCATTACAGGCGGCCACAGGGATACCCCATAGCTTTGTCACAGACACGTTCTGAGTACTTGCAGAGATCACTACTGGGATCTGTGTTCTGTTATCACAGGCTTTACTTTTCTTTCTCAGGATCTGCCTGTGGCCCCGAAAGTTCCAACTATATCCTCAAACCATTTCCCATGGATTCCAGGATCTCCATGTGAGAAGAAAGTCACCTCTTTAGAGGTCATGACCCAAAAGGATCAGTACTATCTAGTCTAGTAACTATGCCAGAGAATGGGAAAGGCTGATGGCTTCTAACCAAGGGTTTACCCTTTGGTGTTGAAAGTTGTGACCCCCAAAGATAATGGCTGTGGTCTGGTAGTGTTCAAGGCAGTAATGGAAACCATGAAAAGAAGGGATAGCTGGTCACCCATACCACCCTGGCTCTCCAGGGGTGCTGGTCTAAGCCTTCTTCTCATGGATAGTCTGACACTCTGATGTGGCTGTGAGACAATAACGGGTTTGTATCACACTATCTATTGTATGACATTATTCCTGGGGACACCTGAATAAATGTCTACTCATCCCAGATAGGGAATTGACAATAGACCAAAGCACAGATACCAGGTCCAACTCAATGAACTAATGAGTGTTATTAGTGTTACTTATAGAAGTATGGATGAGGGGATACTTATAGGAGTGGAAATGACTCAAAAACAGCTACATCACCGAAGCCTACCCCAGCATGACTGACAACTCAAAAAACTGGAAACCTGTATCACACTAGATGCAATTACACATGTTAGAGCGTATCCTTTCCATGTAGTTTAGTTGGTCTGAATCTCTGCCAGGAAGATCAGCTTGTTTCTGGGTCTTCTAGGCTGCTTGGCTGGTCTCTGTTTCTTCTATACTGCTGAGCACTAGTGCTGGCTAGTTTTATGACAACTTGACACAAGCTTGAGTCATTCCGGAAGAGGGACTCTTACTTGAGAAAATGGCCCCACCAGATTGGCCTGAAGACAATCTGTGGTGCGTTTCCTTAATTTGTGATTGATGTGGGAGGGTTCAACTCTCTGTAGGAGGTACCATCCATGGGCAGGTGTTCCTTGGGTGTATAATAGAAGCAGGCTAAACAAGCCTAGGGGAACAAGTAATTAGCACTTCTCTATGGCTACTGTATCAGTTCCTGCTGACTTCCTTCAATGACGTGAGAACTGTAAACTGAAAACCCCTTTCTCCTCAAATTTCTTTTGGTTATGGTGTTTTATCACAGCAATAAAAATCCTAAGACAGCTGGTTTCTGCTCCTTCCTGGGGGCTGGGTTTGTCTGCCGGTAACTCTCAACAATTTTTACTATTTATATACTTTTGGGGAAGGAGGAGCCTAGTGAATCTGGTCAGTTTTGAGGACTTCCCAGAAGCTATTTTGAGTCATTTACTTCCTGTGTTAAGGAGCTTCCCTGGAGGATGGAGTGTTTCTATTGCTGTGATGAAACACCATGATCAAAAAGCA